GCGGGGGCGCCAGCGTTTCGCGGCCGAAGCGTATCATCGTCTCGAACCAGCTTCCCATACGGGCAAATAGAGAGCCATTGACGGGAAAATGGAGCTTCGAGTACGACAATGACAGCCTCTATTTGCAGCTCAGAGATGGGTTTCCTCCGGGGACGGATGTCATCTACGTCGGCTCGCTTAACGCCAACGTTCTGACATCCGAGCAAGAAGACGTGGCTCAGTTGTTGTTGGAGAAGTTCCAATGTGTTCCGACATTCTTACCGGTGGAGTTGCACGACAAGTATTACCATGGTTTCTGCAAACACTATCTCTGGCCGGTGTTTCACTACATGCTTCCGATGACGCAATCTAACGGTTCGCTCTTCGAACGTACGCATTGGAGGGCGTACATGAGAGCCAACAAGATTTTCGCTGACAGGATCTTCGAAGTGATGAACCCAGATGAAGATTATGTCTGGATTCACGACTACCACCTCATGGTCTTGCCAACGTTCCTTAGGAATAGGTTTCATAGGATAAAGATTGGATTTTTCCTGCACAGCCCCTTCCCGTCGTCGGAGATATACCGTACGCTTCCCGTCAGGGACGAGATTCTGAAGGGTTTTCTGAATTGTGATTTGATCGGATTCCACACGTTCGATTACGCCAGGCATTTCTTATCCTGCTGCAGTAGAATGCTAGGTATTGATTATGAATCTAAGAGAGGCTATATTGGTGTGGAGTATTTCGGTAGAACCGTGAGTATCAAGATTTTGCCTGTTGGAATCCACATGGGGCAGATTGAATCTATCATGGCGTCAGAAGAATTGGCGAACAAAGTGAAGGAATTGAGGAAGAAATTCGATGGGAAAACAATCATGTTGGGTGTGGATGATTTGGATGTGTTCAAAGGAATCAGTTTGAAGTTCATGGCGATGGGTCAGCTTCTGGAGCAGAACGAACAACTTCGTGAGAAAGTGGTATTGGTACAAATCACTAACCCGGCTCGGAGTTCAGGTAAGGATGTTCATGATGTGAAGAAAGAGATGGATTGTGTTGCCAATGAGATCAATGGTAAATTTAGGAAACTGGGTTATGAGCCTATCGTCTTTGTGAATGGACCTGTCAGTACATTGGAAAAAGTAGCTTACTACGCAGTGGCTGAGTGTGTCGTGGTCAATGCCGTGAGGGATGGCATGAACCTGGTGCCTTACAAATACACTGTGGCTAGACAGGGGAGTCCTGTTTTGGATGAAGCCTTGGGTTATGGCCCGGATGATGGTCGGAAGAGTGTGATCATTGTCTCTGAGTTCATTGGTTGTACCCCATCTCTAAGTGGCGCAATCCGTGTGAATCCATGGAACGTCGAAGCAGTGGCTGACGCGATGAGCTCTGCTGTTACCATGTCGGAAGCCGAAAAAGAGCTTCGCCACCAGAAGCATTACAAGTACATCAGCTCCCACGATGTGGCCTACTGGGCACGGAGCTTTGATCAAGATCTTCAAAGGGCGTGCAAAGATCATTACAACAAGAGATTCTGGGGAGTTGGTTTCGGGTTAGGTTTCAGAGTCGTTGCCTTAGATCCATATTTCAGGAAACTCTCGGTTGAAGCCATAGCTGCTGCTTATAGGAGGACAAGCAACCGGTTGATCCTCTTGGACTACGATGGGACCGTGATGCCTCAGACCCGTGTGGATAAAAGGCCAAGCAATGATCTGATCTCGCTTTTGAACCGTCTTTGCGATGACTCGAGTAACGTAGTGTTTGTCGTGAGTGGTCGAGGTAAGGACCCTCTGAGTAAATGGTTCGGTTCATGTGAGAATCTCGGTATTTCAGCTGAACACGGTTATTTCATGAGGTACTACAACCGATTCCCCTACTCTACAGCAATATGTCTATCATCTTCTTTGTTCTGCCAGCTCTTACTCTTCTCCCCCAACCATTGTTGTCTTGCAGATGGAACTTGAGTTCAGAATGGAGGGCATGTGGGATACCGGTGGACTTGAGTTGGAAGAGGATGGCTCAACCGGTAATGAACCACTACAAAGAAGCAACAGACGGGTCTTTCATAGAGGAGAAAGAGAGTGCAATAGTCTGGCATCACCAGGAAGCTGACCCATCTTTCGGATCATCCCAAGCTAAAGAGCTTCTGGATCATCTGGAGGGTGTGCTTGCCAACGAGCCCGTCGTCGTCAAGAGAGGCCAACACATCGTAGAGGTTAAACCTCAGGTATGTATGTTATATTATATATGTAACAAGTGTTTCTAAGAGATTCTGGATCATCTAGAGGGATTTGCACCATAATAACATTGTGTGATTTGGTTTCAGGGAGTGAGCAAAGGGAAGGTGGTAGAGAATCTGATAGGGAGTATGAGAAACAGAAGAGGGATGAGACCGGATTTTCTGTTATGCATAGGGGATGATCGGTCCGATGAAGACATGTTCGAGACTATAATGAATCACCCGGATGTTCCGTCCATTGCGGAGGTATTCGCCTGCACGGTGGGTCAGAAGCCGAGCATGGCTAAGTACTACCTCGACGATACGTCTGATGTAATAAAACTGCTGCAATGGTTAGCCTCGGCTTCCGACAGTTCAGCGGACCGGCAACAAAAGCTTACGTTTTCTCAGCCGACAGGGCAATGCCGGACCAAAAGCTTAGATCTTTGATAGGTTTTGTTGGTGGGGAGGGGATAGCCGGATAGGGTTTTTAGGTTAACCTGAAGAAGGGGTTTAAGGTTGTTTTTTTTTTGTACAGTGGTTGCGTCAACTTCATAAATCATACAGGTTTTCACATGCCAAATTCTTACACATCGGAAATATATTTGTCTACAGATTTTCGTTTTTTTTTCAAAAAAAAATTGGCAGACGATTTACCCGAAAGAGAGAAAATGTTTATGATACTTGAAAAAAGAATATGAATTTGCAGTTTAAACACCTTAAAAAGAAAAGAGATAATTTGGATTTTCGTAAAAGTTCTTATTTTAGTAACAAAAGAAGACCCTTTTCCATTCAATTAATTACATCAAATATTTGGATTTTCAGACATATTTGTACCTTTTTTATTTTATATTTTATAATATTGTGGCTCTGTATTTAGATTTTCAGATATGTTATATTTTGTTATTTCTATTTTATAAAAATTATATCTGTATATGGGTTTTCGAATTTTATTCTCTTCGATTTTTTTACTTTAAGAAATACTCAATATTTATTAAAAAAAATTCATTTTTTTTTATGTTCATCCGAGTTCTAATCAAATCGATTTTCCTTTTTTAGAATCGAAATTATTTTAATTGAATTTATTTTTATATATAAGAACCCTGAAATCTTACAAGAATTCACATTGAATCGACGTTATTGGTTTCAAGTAAAATATATTTATCATAAACAAGAGTACCAATAATGCGATTACTGAATTGTGAATTGAAAATAGAATGATTTGCAATGACCCATTTGTATTATACTTGTAAATATGTAAAATATGAATTGTTGGTCTCCGAAGAACATTAGAATTCAAAGTCATAAAATGAATATTAATCGATTTTAATTGTCTTTTTGGTCAAATGTTGTTGACTTGTCTTAGTCGAGGGAAACAAATATCCCCCGGATTCTTTAGAACGGAAAACGACGGGACGATGCACTCTGACTCGGTCGTAACTCAGTGTGTGTGTGTATATATATATATATATATAACTCATTAATCGAAAAGTTGTCTTGAAATGGAACTAGGGTTTCAATTCATCTTCTCCTGCAGGAGATCCATGTGGCCAAACCCGACACCAGTTTCCCGTGAAGACGAGGCCGAGACCGGGTACCTCCAAAAACACAGGTATCGAGACCCGTGTCCACCCCACATCGTTTCCTCTTTTGGGTACGGAAGGAACCTATCTTGTACGTGAAGTAACTGAAATGCTCTTCTTCTTCATCACAGGCAGGCAATGGTTTGCGGCTGCAACTGTTCCTGGTCCTTGTCGGAACAGAAAAGATTCTATGGAGACTACGTTAAAGGAGGATGACAATGCGGTCGGGTTTGGTTTTTTTGGATTTTGAAAAATATATTCATTTGGTTTTCACATTAAATTCGGATACTGCTGTAAAAAAAATGGTTAATTTTTATAGAAAATTTCGGTTCATATATCTAAACCCGTTTGGATTCGTATTTTTACATGTTTTTATTAATGGGTTAAATAGGGTATTTAAGGCCCATATTTTATATCCTCCAATTTGTATAATCTCTCGGACCTAAGCAAACAAATCCATGAAGCCCATCTTATTCACAACTAGTTTAAAATAGATGTTATGCAAAGATATATCTTCATTCATCATATTCATTTATTAACTATAATGATTTATGTCATAGGAGCTAAAAATAAAATGTGCGACATTTTTTCACGGCAAAAAAAAAAAAAGAAGAAGAAGAAGAAGAAGAAGATATTAATGTATGAGAATTTAGATGTAATAAATAGGAAAATATTTCCAACTTTTCCTATATTTTTTTCTTTCATCAAAACCTTAATCATAAAATTCTCAACTTCGGATGAAATCTGACATTCTATCCAACATGGTAGCGTTAAAAAAACTTTCGTTTGCAACCAACGTAAATAAAATAACCATGTCAATGTAATTAGGGGCAATACATATCCTATAGATCCTATTTGATGTAATAAATAGGAACATGTATATATAGATCCTATATACATATATATATATAGAGTGGCGTTGAGTTGCCCACTCATTGAGTTAATAAACTCATGTACTCTT